GCATATTGATCATATTTATGTGAAATTAGCCTTGAAAGATCATTTTTGCCCTCCCATATACAATCATTTTGTCTTTCCAGGAAAGACTATCATTAACATTACTCAAGTACTGCCTTATCAGATTATGCATTCAGTTTTATTTAATAAAGATAGCTTATTTTGCCGATAAACTCAATTCTGCTATGTTGATGCATCACAACGATTATTAGTAATTATTAGTAATAGTAGTGGTGGTAGAATTGTCTTAGTAGTTTAAATGTATTAAAACAATATTCACGGAATTAAAGTCATAAGTAAAGAAACCATATCAGTTGTATATTAAACTTTTCAAGAAAACTTTGTTGCTCTGCACATTCGCATTTGTAAAGTATGGAAAACTAAAATTGATAATTTCAACTGAGAGACTTAAGAATTTATGATTTTTTTTTCAAAGTAGATCCAATAATTTTATTTGCTCAAGCTTCAAAACAAATAACTTTCAAATGTTAAGTTTGTAACAGAGTAGAGAAACTGATATGAGAAATGAGAAAAATGATGACTGGAAGTGAAGTAGTTTTTTACCCTGTTATTGGTATTACTTCATATTAGATCTTAAAAGTGTGTTTTGTCTATAAATGAAATTCGTATACTATCTAGTTGAATATTGTTTTACAAACTGATACAAATACATAATTTAATTCAATGGAGATTTCTTCCAGGTAACAATATATTATATTTGAAATTATACTCTATAAACTACTGGTAGTTACGACTTTATTAGCAATTTACTGTTTTTTATTATCTCAGTTCTTATTATGAAGTTTTTCAATAGAATTTTGAGGCTCCACTCATCCAATCTGAGTGAAGAGAGAATGATTACTGACAGTCCCATATATTAATAGATACAATGGATGAGCATGAAGGATTATAAAAATTTGGTTCAGGGCTTTGCTGATTGATTTACGATGAAAATTTTCAGTGCCAGATGATTACATTGATGTTACTATCTATTGTTATTTTATGAGCTTCATTATTATTACTTTTACTGGTATACACCACTTAGAACTGCAATAGGGTAAATCTGTATATCTTAAAATAAAATGAATAAATATGAAATTTGGTAAATTCAGTGCTCTTATGTTCTCATGTCACCGTGCTCCTTGAGTAGCTGTTCCAATTTTCTTTAAGCTTGGCTGAGGCACCACTCAATTGCAAAGTTCTGTTTTGAAAATCACAATGCTGAGTTTTATGGGACAAAAGAGTGATGCCACAAAAATCCTGAATGAAGAGAAAGATACTACGTTAGGAAGCAACCTTTTCCACCGATTGGTAGCTCTTATTCTTAGAAAATTTGTTGTAATACCTTCTCTGAATCTCCTTCCCTATAATTTCAACCGAATGTTCTGCTCTGCTCCTCACAATGATAGAGAACCATACTGGTTGTTGAGTTTCATTACCATTCAGTGTCTCCTGATCATCTTGCTTCTATAGATTACATGCTTCCACATCTGTTCCTCCCAGTAAAGCAAACAGGAAACATGACTAGATAGATTTATTCTGCTTTGTTGTAAGGCTACATTAACAGAATCTTGTAAATCTGAAGAGTCAGTTTTCCCACCTTCCTTTTTAATTACTTGATCCATTAGGGTGGGTTTTTGCCAAGTTTCTGTCTCTGACCGTTGAGTGACTGTGGGTGTTGCCTGCCTTTCTTGTCTTTTTTTTTTTTTGTCTTATCATAATTTTATTTTTGATTCAAAAGAAAGTTTAAAATATAACACTCCAAAAAAATCCCTCTCAAAAAGGACAATAAACCAAAAATCCACAAGACAATAAAAATGTGTCAGAAAGAATTTAAAAAACAATACATATACACCAGTAGTGGGTTGCCCCCGGTTCGCACTGGTTCTATAGAACCAGTAGCAAAACCGGCGGGAGGCTCTGCCCACTGACCCCGACGTCATCAGAATGCTTCTGCACATGCGCGCAGCCCTGTTGCGAACCGATAATAAAGGTAAGTAGAACCCACCCGATATACACATATTAATTGAACACTGATTAATATATTACTAAAATGTTGGTATCCATCCCTTGCAAAACAGGCCTCCCCAAAATGTTTAAACTAGTAAATCTATTTGCAAATTAATGACTTGTCTTCTAAATATTAATGACAAGATAGTTAGCAGGAAAAGACAAAAGATTCCAAACTCTCTGTTAACAAGCTATTATTGTAAACCACTTGTAGAAAGTTTACCATAGCTTCCTGTCTATCACAAATCATCCCAAAAGTCCTGGATCAAATATCCACATTTGTTTCTTACTGCCATCTCTTATCAATTGCTGTCTAATTAAATATAATAAATTCTGTCTCCACAGTGGATCTATCTTGCAAACAAGGTCCAAATAGAAGTGGTTTCCAGTTATATGTAATAAATCCATTCTCGGATCTCCCTCCATCTTTGGAATAAAAAAGAATTTGTCATTTCCCGATTTCATCAGATTGCTAGTATTGCAAGGATATAGAAGTTCAAATACATGGGATTCAGGGGTGGGTTTCAAAACCCGTCATTATCAGCTCGCTCGTTGGTGCGCGCACACTCATGATGCTTCTGCGTATGCGCAGAAGCAGGTGGGCAGAGCCTCCCACCGCCACCGCTACCGGTTCGCCCAATCTGGGGTGAACTGGTAGCAATCCACCACTGATGGAATTGACTCAATAAATTCTCAGTTATGTGGATATCTCTTTGGTCTGCAACTTCAGATTAAGATTCTTTTGTAAATCTTATGCTTCTGCGTATTTTCCACGACAATTATCATCTTTCTTAGAGCTGCCTCCGTTGCTCGCCTGTAATGGGGTACATTGTTACTTTGTGTTACTTTGATCAGGGAACAAAGAACACTGAACCAAAAGAAACAAGATGTCTTCTGGTGTCCTCCCACCTCTCTTGTTTGATTGTTTCCTAGGCAGTATCTCCTCCTCTCTTTCATCAAGGTCATTTATGGATTCATTACATCTTGTGAGTGTTGATTATAATTTGCTAGTCCAACACATTAACTGCTATATAACACAAGTTTTTTTAGACAGTATGGCAAGCCAAAATAAATGCCAGTTAATTTGAGGCAGAGAATTTGGAATATCAGTCTGACTGATAGCTCAGTATTGTTGAGTTAGTACTGTTATACTACATTTTTAATAATGGATATGAATCCCACTTTATTTAAGATAGTTAATTCCTAGATGTATGGCTGTAGGATCGCGAGCAAACCTTTTATGACTGTTATCAATAGTTAATAAAAATTACATCAGATTCTGTATGCCTAATATATAAATATATATCAATGTTTGTATATTAACCTATTTAATAAAAGCAGTTCTAATATTTTTTCATTTAGTACTTGCATTTTCTCTTATTTAATCATTCAGATCTCACTGTCCTTTATTTCACTTACCTCCTCCTCTTACGTGTCTCTTTCTTCCCCAAGATCCATGCTTAAGAAAGCCAAATCTGAACCTCTGTTACCAATGTACCATGTTCCCTATGAGATTATCTTTGCATAAAAGCAAGGCCTAGCATTACACTTTACATGTAACATGATGCAGTTTTTTTTTCAACTCAGTCAAGTATACAATTTCTGTTTCACTATTTCTGCCTTAGTGTTGCAGATACCAACTTTGTGCAAGAAAAGCTAGAGGCAATATGTAGACTGGAAAAAAGTCATACAGAAACTTGAGTGTTGATTGATTGATCAAAGGTTCTCAGTTTTAGTCTCCACTTTAACTTTAAAAGATAAGAGAACCTGCCAGCCTTCTCTCCATTTAAAAGATTAAACATTTCAACAGCTCTACAAAAGAGAGTAGTTTTAGCTCTGGAGGCTTTAGAAAATATCTTTCCAATGGGACTTTTTAAAAAAGATTCTTATCAACCTGGGTCAGGAAATTATTTCAGTTACAGAGGGAGTAAAGAACTAAATTCTTCACTGTCTTTATAAAAATAATCTGGGGGAATCTTCTGTACTTTTCTAAAGACAAACAATATCTATAGTGGCCTGGGCATCTTATTTAACCATGACTTCTGAAAACCAGACTTTATTCTGATTTTTCTGTCCATTAATATAGGCAACATAAGACAGGTTTGGTCAATCATATATGACCAGAACCCTACTATCCTAAAAAAAAAAATTATGAAATATTTCATTGCAGTATAATTATTTTTGAAAATAATTCATTCAATCTAGGTAATGGTACTCTATAATATTAGGAAAGTTTGGGGTATACTAAACATATTTCTGAAGGTATTGGATAAAAATATATTTAATCACCTGCCATATGTGTTTTGTCAGTCTAAAAATGTGGATTACAATAGGCATGAAGAAGAAAGTATTTTAAATTCTTTGCTATCAGTTTAATTTCTGAATTGATTGTCGTTTAAGTTTAATCATTAATCTGCATTTAAAAGAAGAAAATGTATAACTTATCTTAGTTTTCTGTCATGGTAATTTAATTTATAACAATATACACATTTATTTTTATTCTATTAGAAAAATAGAATCTTTAACTATTTTGATAAATTTGCCTGAAATATTTTGAACATTTACTGTTTTTCCTTCTTTTCCAAATGGGCAATACATCAAGATACAATATTGGGTTGGTTTTTATTTTTGTAAGGACCAAAATTGAATCTATTTAAAATATTTATTGTTTTTTATAGTACTTTTTCCTCATCAGAAATGTTCAAGTCACATTTTACTTCATTATCCTAACAGCAATATATATATACATGGTACTGAAAATGAGCCATTTTGTTTTAAAACAGATTGCAGATGAAAAGAAACCATTCATTGCTTACTGTAATTACTAGAGCACTAATTACCTCTAATCACTGACATCCAGGGTCAATAAGGATGACAACAGAAACAGCCTTTCAAAGCAAGCTGTAATTTTTTTTTATTATTATAGCTATCACATTTTGCTAGAAGCGTTAAAAGTTGTTGATTTATATTTTATTTTTTTTTTCTATTTGCAGTTTGACGGTGAAAACATGTATATGAGTATGACAGAGCCGAGCCAGGAGTATGTGCCAGCCAGCCAGGTGGGTTAATTAATCTTCTCTGTCTTGTTTCAAATTGTAATTAAACAAATTCAAAGAATTGCATTGCAAATGAGTGGCACTATCAGTAACTGCTGCAATCAGAAATAATCATAATTTATAAACAAAGCATTTAAGTCTTCTTTCTAGCTAATGAGATAGCACTGATAAAGCACCAGAGTTGACAGTTGCTGAAGACACTACCCTTGTTTGTGCTCCAGAATGGAAGCAGCTGTTTTGCCAGCATGATCAGTGCCAAACAGTTGTTATACCTTTAGGAAGTAATCTTTACAGGTGCCTGCTATTTGTTTATCTAACTGCAGACAAGTTAATCATTGTCAGCCACAGGTGCCATAGACTGTTGTCTATTGCTTTACTGTTGTATGCAGGCCTATTTGACAAAATGGCTGATTCAGATTTGAAGGATGATGGAGAGATTGTCATAAGTGGGAAATCATGCTATCTAATTGCTTTCCAGTCCATTGTTTCTCTTATTCAGAAAGGCCTGCTAACCCAAAAATAACCCAGGAAATAATTGATTACATGTGGGTATACCAGGGAGAATAAAGATAATAGTCTTCTTCCGTTCCTTCTCAGTGGTTCTCAACCTGTGGGTCGCGACCCCTTTGGGGGTCGAACGACCCTTTCACAGGGGTCGCCTAAGACCATAGGAAAACACATATTTTCAATGGTTTTAGGAATAATTTTATGGTTGGGGGTCACCACAACATGAGGAACTGTATTAAAGGGTCACGGCATTAGGAAGGTTGAGAACCACTGTAATAGATGGCTATTAATAGCATAATTGTTTTAAATATGATATCTTTATTTAGATAGTATCTACTAGCCATTAAAAATATATCCTGTCAAGAGATCACATGATTGATGCAGAAATAGAGATCACATGATTAATGCAGTGTGTAATTTCGTTTGTTTTTGCTATATCATGTTATTGGAAGAACCCAAGCTTTTAAGTATTGGCAATATAGAATCATAGCAGTACATAAAGTCAGTTTATTAAAGCAAAGATTTGACTAACATCTGAATGTTGCTTTCAGATAAAAATGTAGGAGGGACAGAGATAAGAGGGATCAGCCTAAAATCCCTACATAGCCACAAAGAAACTAAGTCCAACCTCCCTTGCATTCCATTGACCAATATTTAACTCCAAGCAAGAGCTAACCATTAGGTTCATTGGTGCATATAGACATTGCTCAAGACTTATTTAGTTATAGCAAAACACTTAATTATGTGAATGCAGACAATGCACTGGTATAAGTTAATGTTCATGAATGTGCATTTTTGTCCATGGTGAAAAAGTACAACTATCTATTTCTTTTTCTGATTGATAGTTCACATTGTTCATGCATAGATCATGCATTATATACATGTGATTTAATTGGCCTATAAACATTTACATTTGGCATTCCTGTGTACAATTTTATCTAAGAGCTGAAAATAAAATGAATTGAAAGTGGATATAAGTTAATGCTTCTGTTAGAAGTATCTAAATAGGGTCCCTAAATGTTTCAGTAAGAATCTGTTTTTTTTCTAGAATTGGTCAAGTTGAGATGTCAAATTCCCATATTTATACACATGACTCTTGTCCTGGTTTCACTGATGATGATATCCATTCAGTTGTGTCTGACTCTTGGCAATTCTTTGGGTCATGTCTTTCCACATCTTTCAATCTTGCACTACTTCTTTGAATTATTCTATACTCTGGCTGTTGTCAACTTTGATGGTTATTTGGTGGCCTGGTTTCCTCTTACCACTAATTCTTCCAAACATAATTGCTTTTTTTCCAGTGAATTGCCCCATATGACATAGCCAAACTGGTTTCACTACTCTCACACAATTGCTATGATACTTCATAATTTACTCAACAGATAACATTTAAAGAATGTCTCAGAGACTTGCCTGAATGATTTGGATTTTAAATAGGAGCAGATAGAAGAATAGTCCATAATCAGTCCAAGGTTCCAAAAGCCATACCAAGGTTGTCAGTCAGTCCAGAAGTTAGATATTCAAAGGTTCTTACATAAACAAGGTTCACAGGAATATCACACAAGAACCAAAGATAAGACATTGGTATAAGAACTGTGGTGGCGCAGTGGTTAGAATGCAGTATTGCAGACTACTTCTGCTGATCACCGGCTGCCAGCAGTTTGGCAGATTGAATCTTACCAGGCTCAAGGTTGACTCAGCCTTCCAGCCTTCCGAGGTGGGTAAAATGAGAACAAAGATTGTTGGGGGCAATATGCTGACTCTGTAAACCGCTTAGAGAAGGCTGTAAACCACTGTGAAGCGGTATATAAGTTTAAGTGCTATTGCTATTGTTTTCAGCAAAGGGAACATGGGTCAGGACTGCCAGTTAAATTAGACTGCAACCTGCTACCACTAATCAAGAGATTTACTCCCTTGTTTGGCAAGGAGCCTGATGGAAAGACTCTGCTCTCTACTTGTCAGGTAAGGGACTGGGAGGCTTTACATTATCTCCATCTGGCTACTCCAGCTATCCAGGTAATGCCTGCTTTTTATCAGCCTCATGTGACTCTGGGATCGGTGTTGCCTGAGGTTTATATCCACAGATTCAGCTGGAACTGCTTCTTCAGAGCTTTGGTTATGATAGGTGTAAGGCTTAAATAGATGTGATGTAATTAAGTAATTAGAAGTTTTTAAAAGGTAGCTAGGTTCCTTGGACTAAATTTAAGTAAAAAGCATATAGTTATGATGCTCTTTTTTAATTTATGAAGGTTGTTTGTAGATGTGTTGTTTATTTATAAGCTAGCTGGTTATTTGGGGAAATAAGAAAATATTTTAATTGAAATATCATCAAATCTGTTCTAGGGATCCAGTAATGCAGTATATAACACATCAAATAATGGTTTCTCCCAGATTGTAGGTTTATTTTTTTAATTTAATTTTCCAATTAGCATCTTATTCAGAACTTGAATTCCTAGAAAAACAACATTTTAAGTATTATTTAAATGAAATATTTGAAAACTACTGAACCTATTTCTGTCATAATTATAACTTTACTATATTTCTTTTATAACATAAGGATCTTTTACAAAAGTAGATCATATTGTTCAGTATTAGGGAATGAGACAGGGAGGCAATTAACAATTCTTTTGAAGCAATGAACTGGTATGATTGAACTTGCTTATCTGAGAATTCTCTATGTTTTGCTGGTAATTTTGAATATAAATGTTTGAGTAAAAATTGGGAGAGATATCTCTGTGTAACCTTTGTGCCTAAAACTTGTCTTGACAAGTTTAGCAGTATTGTTAGATTAAAGCAAGTAGGCATCGGCTTGCTTATATCTTCAGGGCTTTGAATCAAAAGGACTAATTGAATTTATTTGAAAGTGTAGAAGCACAAACTGTCTGAATGACTGCTGTCACAAAGCAGCTGCTACTTTTCAGAGAATCATTTTGTTTCTCTTTACAAGATCCAATACTAAACCACTGCATTTTCTAATGTGGTCATTGCCTTCTGCTGTTCCTCTATCTAGGATACATATATTTAAAAAGCCATCTTACTCATGTTACATATTTTAATTCATGAATATAAAATAGATAGAAGATTCTTAAAAAGGGAATGGAAGCCTGGATATCCTGGATGAATATCCAGATTTATTTAACATTTAGCATTTATTATTTATTTACCTCCTTCTATCCTCCCAAGTAGTTGGAGGCTTTTTTCTTTTTCTTTCTTCCTTTCTTTCTTCCTTTCTTTCTTCCTTCCTTTCTTTTTCTTTCTTTCTTTCTTTCTTTCTTTCTTCCTTTCTTCCTTCCTTCCTTCCTTCCTTCCTTCCTTCCTTTCTTTCTTTCTTTCTTTCTTTCTTTCTTTCTTTCTTGATCTATCCATCCATCCATCATATTTATATAGCTTCTCTCTCATGGAAAAGTAACTCTGGGCAGTGTATGCTAAAACTATGAAAGAGTTAACATATAAGAACTATTATTCAGAAAAAAATTAAAAACCAAGAAATGGGCATCAGATAAAGCTTCGGATACTCTTTCCAGGCAGTTCTGTGTAGAGCCCATTACTGTAAACTATTGAGCAGTGACTGGCATAGGTAACTGTGAATACAGCCCACCAATGTAGGAATGGGTGCAACTGGCACACTATGCAGTGCAGAAGCCCTCCTAGCCATGACCCTAACCTGCTCTTTGACCAGGAGTTGTGAATCCACAAAGACTGTATCTGAGTTGCTAAAATGTGGGCTACCATCTATAAAGGTATTGCAGAAAATGCTCTTTGCTGCCGTTTAATGACTGTTTGCAGCCTAGATGTGGCAGGTCTAAATAAATCTAAACAAACAAAAAGATGCTAATCAGAGATACCAGAAGGTAAAAGTCTAGCTGACTAAAATTATGTGGTGGTTGACAGGCTCCTTCCTCCATTTCTCTTAAGGAATTCTTCTCACGAAGTGATTGGTGGCAGCTGTGCTGAGGGAAAGGAGAACAAATTATCAGCTAAGTGGACTACTGAGTGGCTGATTTTTAGTTATAAGACCCATGACTTATTTTGTTGGGTAGCATGAAATAAAAGTATTATTTAAAATAATTAAATTTTAGCATCCCTATTTCTACAGTTATGCATGATTTGAAATTTTGTGTGTGCTTTAAAATGAAAGGTGATCTTAACATTCCTTAGCCTTGGTTAGAATGTGTATTAATGGAAAAATCCTTGTGTCTTATTTTAAGACTTTTAAAATCAATTTATCACCTTAAGGCTAACATAAATAAAAACACACATGTCAGTTATGAAAAGTAGAACATCAAACATCTGTATAATTTGGTAATCCAAGACAACTTGCCTTACAGCATTACTTGACAATTATCATTTCTGTTCAATTTTCAAATCAGTACATGCTTTGGGACTTATGTACTAAGTTGCTAAGTAGCAACATATGGCTTACTACTGTTCTTGTGATGTTGCTGCAAGCGAAGATTACAATACTAGACTTGAAATGATTTCCACAGACAGCCATTCTTGGAAATAAGCCAGAAGTATAACTGTACCATTAAAATTAATATTCTTTTAGCTTGTCCCAAAAGACCGGTGTTCCTGGGCTGGTGTATATTTTATATATGTAAATATTATATTCTTAGCAACAATTATTAACATAGAACTATGGATCCCAGATAGATTTTACAATTATTTTACTATGTTCATATCTACATTTACCAAGTAAAATATGGCAATTTTATTGATAGTTAAACTTTAGCATATGAGAAGTAAACTTTTATATAGGAGAAATTTCTTTATCATCTCCTTGTGGCAATTTTCTATTGTCATCTATAAGAATTTCCTGGCAATATTACCCATATAACATATAACAAAGAAACCTATGGGACTAAGCACTTTCTTCTAATGTGGAACACTCTTCAGAGTTAACTTGTAAACTCAAACCAGGGGGAAACATTATTTAACATAGTCTTCCATTCTGATGTCCTCTAGATGTGTTAAACCTGTCCCGGAGCTAGGATGCTAGGCCATTTTGGTGGAATGAATTCAGTATATCTGAAAATATCTGATTAGGGAATAATGAGCACATTGGAGATAGTTCCCACTGCTGATTGATTACTTTAAAAAGTCTTTAGGCATCTGATAACCTGAAATATAAAAATTGGTCTGAACTTTGGAATTAATTTTCATAGATAGTATAAAAGTTAATATTCATCACATATGAGTGAATTTCTCATTCTTTTCACTCTGATTTAATTGCAGCATTCAATGTCTGTGTATTTTGTTTTACAGTTGCATTGTTGATTGGCTTTGTGTATTAGTGGTTGTATTTTTTGTTTTATAACAAATTTTTCTTAATCGGTATAATAAGCATGTATTATGTTGTAGCCTAATTTTTTTCCTTTTCCTTTTATCTGTGCCTTGAAGTTCATTTATTTTATTTATTCATTTATTTTAATTGTCAAGCATATATAAGATAACAGATAAAAGTATAAGCATGATTATGAATACATGAAATGGATACGAATAAAAAGGGACATTAGGAAGGATGGTAGACACATTGGTGCGCTTATGCATGCCCCTTGCAGACCACTTAGGAATGGGGTGAGGTCAACAGTAGACAGTCTAAGTTTAAAGTTTTGGGGGTTTGGGGAAAAAACCACAGAGTCAGGTAGTGCATTCCAGGCATTGACCACTCTGTTGCTGAAGTCATATTTTCTGCAATCGAGTTTAGAGCAGTTTACCTTAAGTTTGTATCTATTGTATGCTCGTGTATTGTTGTGGTTGAAGCTGAAGTAGTCATTGACTGGTAGGACATTATAGCAGATAATTTTATGTACTATGCTTAGGTCAGACCGAAGGTGGCATAGTTCTAGTTATCTAAGCCCAAAATTTCACATCTGGTGGCATAAAGTATTCTATTGCGAGCAGAGGACTGGAAGACTCTTCTCGTGAAATATCTCTGAACTGTCTCAATTATATTAATGTCCGATATGCAGTGCAGGTTCCAGACAGATGAGCTGTATTCAAATGTTTTGTATGCTCTAGTTCCGTGATGGCGAACCTATGGCATGTGTGCCACAGGTGGCACGCGGAGCCATATCTCTGGTCACGTGAGCGTTGCCCTAGCTCAGCTCCAGAGTGCATGCGTGCACCAACCAGCTGATTTTCGGGCCCACTGGAAGTCAGGAAACAGGCCATTTGCGGTCTCAGGAGGGCCTCTGGGGGGTGGGGAAGGCCATTTTCACCCTCCCCAGGCTCCAAGAAAGCCTCTGGAGCTTTGGAAGGTCAAAAAACGGGCCTATCGGCCCACCGTGCTATTATGTGCCAAAAGTGGGGGAGCGCGGAGAGGGTCGCACGCACATGCGCGGGGGCTTTCACATGCATGCATGGGCAGTGGGGCACATTGAATTATTGGTGCAGTCATGTGCGCGTGTGACTCCCCCGCTTTTGGCACGCGACGGCAAAAAGGTTAGTCATCACTGCTCTAGTTAGTAGTACAATATTACCAGTGTACATGAAGTGTATATGAAAGAGAAAACTTACACCTCATTTTTAAAAGTATATTAGTTTTGCCCCATTTTACACTCTTTCAGTTGTTAAGTGAATCAGTGCAATTTATAAATTAGTAACATGGTTGTTAAATGAACCTGACTTCCCCATTGACTTTGCTTGTTGCAAAAGGTGATCACATGACTCTGGAAAACAATCATAAATATGGGTCAGTTGCCAAGCATCTGAATTTTAATCACATGATCATGGGGATCCTACAAAGGTTATAAGTGTGGAAAATCACATTTTTCAGTGCCGTTGTAACTTTGAACAGCCACTAAATGAACTGTTGTAACTCGGAGACATTACATGATTGAACATTATTTGATGTACATTATACATGATGTACATTATTTGATGTATATTTGATATTTGAACATTATTTGATCTACGTTACATGATTGAACATTATTTGGCTACTGCCATTATTTGTTTGT